GTATGTATGTATGTATGTATGTATATCTTATATTCTTACATAAGGAGTCGAAAATGTAGTAAAAAGAAAAACATATACATTACCATATATGTTCTAAAATTTGTTATACCGAGAGATCGTAAACTCCACACTGGCTAGACTTGATGTACTAATTTAGAGGTTGTAAAAACAGAGGAAAGGTTGAATTCTAACTTATTAAAAAACGAAGACGTGGAACCGGTAACTAGGGATCACATACGAAGAAAATGAAAAGAATGAGGATTAAATTTTAAATGACAACCGGTTAATAATATGGGTGATCAATTTTAAGGTGTAGACGAGTGATGGTTTTTTATGACATTGATAAAGTAAGAAAAATATGAGAGGTAAAAAACATAAGTGCCCTCATGTGAGAAACACATGTTTGACATAACATATGTTTTTTAACGAGAGTTAAAGGCAGAGAGAAAATCGACAATAAAACATGTTTATAAAAAAAATATCTATACAAAATTGATAGCTTAGGGACTCAATGTAACGACCAAAAAATACCGAGTAAAAAATTCATTTTTAGTATGTCAAAACCATTCATTATCCCAAAAAGACGATAAGAGTAAAAGTATTCTCAAAATATCATAGTAAAATCATAAACAATCAAGGCAGAATAAATCTTCAGGGGATGCAATGCAATAAAGTCGTGCCCTTCTTTTTAAACCATGAGTACCTGAAAGTATTTTAAACATAAATCGTAAGCACACAGATCAGTGAGTTTCCCCAAAATCCCTCACACAAAAAAACATATGCAGGCATACATATTGGGTCCACAGTGATCGGACTGGATTATCCTCGGGTCCACAGTCATCAAATTGGATTACCCCCGACCCACAGTCATCAGACTAGATTGCCCCAGATTTTTTGGCATACAACGTAGAGGAGTAAAGCCTCAACCCAACCACACTATGTCGACATATGCAACAAATAATCAATAACTAGCAAATACAAGCAATCATACAGATCTACTAATCTAACAAATCACTATAACATAGCAACATCCTATACATAATGATACATAACACAACCTAGTGGGCCGACATTGGTGCCTTCGACCCACGAGTACAGTGAGGAAAACTTACCTGAACTATTAAACAGAAACCCTATCGCTACCTCAAAAACAGAACAACCATCCCAAGCTTATTATAGCCAAACCAAAACCAGACCTTAGTCAAATACTCAATGCTACCCAAGGTTGACCAAAAGTTAACTGGTCAAAAAGTCAACGGTCAAATTCAACTCCAGCTGACGCCCACATCGTGGCCAACCCATGGCCACGTTGTGGCCACTTAATCCAGTCTCGATGAAAAACTGCTACCAAGCCATGGGGGACATGCCACCACGACATGGCAGAATCCATGCAAAACAGTCACAAATAAACTCGTTGCTACGCCGTGCCGAGCATCATGCCACGTTGAGTATGTCCGGACAAAAAAGATGTGATAAGTCTCGCCACTATGCCGTGGTCTTCATTCTGAAGAGATTTTCTTCAAAACGAGCTTAATCCATAAGGACCAAAGTAAAAACATAATATTTGATTCCTAATAGCTTCATAATGGATAAAGTTTCCAACTTTATCCATTATGATGGTCCAAACCACCAAGATCTAGACTTTAAGTCTCAAAGGGACCTAAAAATGCACCTTGTATGGCTAAAAGGGAATGCAAAAGATCACAATCTTTCAAGATCTAAACTTTAATACACCAAAATGACATTAATGACCAAAATAACTTGTATGGCTAAAAGGGAATGCAAAAGATCGTAACTTTCCTAGTCCATGAGGTCCAAGAAGCATTCCAAAATGATCAAAATATGTTGGAGTCCACTCAACTCCAATATCACTCATAAAATGGATCAAAAGTGCCAAAAACCACAAATGAATAGATCTAAAGAACTAAAGAGCAAGATTGGAACTTTATACTCACAATAGTCTATAAATATAGGGCCTTTGATGGATCCAAACTTGAAGCATCATTATTTGCAACCAAAAGAACCTTATTGATATTTAAGCTTCATCAAAATATCATAAAAAACATCCAAAATAAGAGAGTGGAGAGGGGAGGAGCTCAAATCTTGAAGATGGAGGTTATGGCTTCTCACAAGGGGATATAGATATGATGGAGGCTGCTAAAATGCCAAAAAATGTGGAACCTTATGCTTAAATACCTTGAAAACCCTAAAATCATGGGTTTGGGATGACAGACCGCCACTCCGTGGCCACGTTTCTTCACTCTGTGGCTTGTCACACCGTGAAGCTCTGATCTCCATTTTGTGGCGATAGTTTTTCACCCAAATTTATTCCAACTTCAATCAGCCATAACTTCTTCGTTTCAACTCTGTTTTCGGCGATCTTTATATGCACAAAAAGGTATTGACAAGCCCCACAACTCTATCTGATTACTTTTGACTTAAAACATACCGAACTAAAATCGTTAATTCATGAAAGAAGTCTGAAACATCACTTTTCCCATTTTACCCTTTGACTCCAAAACACAAACCAAAGGCTTAGATCACATAACCAATATTATCAACATCACATATGGTATAAACCCTATTCTCTTGAAGTCAAAGGTCTTTACTTGATCAATTTATTGTCCACAATCCTGAAATAAGAAACTTCTCGAAACAGAATGTTACACTTAAACCCCAATTTGGTAACAAACATCAAATTTGCAATTTTTTCATAAACTAAACATCACAACTTTAAGATTCAAACTTGGTAAGGTATAAATGATAATTTACTATAGCAATTTGAAAGTGGGGGTAAAGTATTGAAAGTTTGATTCTTGGAGGACCGCAGTTGAGAATACTAAAGTACTTGCTAAAGTTGTGCAATCGTGGTAAAAGAAAAGAGACCGACCATACATATTTACGAAACTACCCCCAATAAAGCGGCTGTTACGCACCAAATTCGGTACCACCCGTTGAATCATGTGTACCAACACACCTTACGAAAACCAACCCCGTCTCCAAAGTACCGTCTATATAATACCCACAATGACGATTTTTTACTCGATCTTTCTCTTTTTCGTCAGCCTTTGAAATTGTTTATCGAAAGGAAAACGAATTGCAACACGAAACCCTAGATCTCCTCAAATATTTTGATTCCATCTCCAAACCCCTCATATAATCCTGAGTTTCATCTTTAAAACCCTAGATCTGACCAGCGATTTCACATTTCTTGTATCTCACCGGTCGAATTCGTAAGATTCGACTGGTGTTAGCAGCACCGCATTGGATTTTTTTTTTGTGAACTGGAGTATTTGCGTCTTAAGGTTGTTGAGTAATCGGGGATGGGAAGAGCGTCTATAGAAATATCGAGGACATCTTCGTCATCATCGTCGCCGGCGGTGACAACGACCTCTACATCGGTCACCGAGACGGTGAATGGAGAACATGATTTTAGGATTTCGGGTTACTCGCTATCGAAAGGAATTGGAATTGGGAAGTATGTAGCGTCTGATACGTTTATGGTTGGTGGGTATTCATGGGCTATCTATTTTTACCCTGATGGGAAAAGCCTGGAGGACAATGCGACATATGTTTCTTTGTTTATTGCGTTAGCTAGCGAAGGATCAGATGTCAGGGCGCTTTTTGAGCTGACTCTTCTGGATCAGAGTGGCAGGGAGAGGCATAAGGTTCATAGCCATTTTGGGAGAGCGTTAGAGAGTGGTCCGTATACCCTTAAATACAGGGGTAGCATGTGGTAAGCTAAACTCTGTTTTTGTTAAATGATCACAATTATTAATGTATATTTTTGTTCAAATGATTTGGTATAATCTTGAAAATCTATTTGCTTAATTCATATATGTTGGGGCGTGTCTGGATGTGGCTTCATTTACCAGATTCAGTGCTTAAAATTAGGTATAGTTAGACAAGTTTAATTCATCTCAATAGTTGGTTCGTTACAAATTTTAGGGTTATCTAAGTCTGATCATTTGACTTTAAATGGTCAGAAATTTACAATCATCATCAGTTTTTTGCCAAACACTCATGGTGGTGCTGAATGTACATAGTTTTATGATCTGGTAATCTATCATGAAGTTCTTTTCCCATGGGTAACATTTCTGAAATGCTACATCTTTTAGTGAGTAGCCAGTTGCTGTTTGTTTGTTTTAATAATGCAGAGAATGTAATTTTGACAATGTTAGATCTCTTTGGTAAAAATTGTCCCCTTTTGAGTTCTTTAATGCCTATGTAATGCAGGGTTGGTCAAACTTGCTTTATTTTTCTTCCTAGATGAAATATAACTTAAGAAATAATTAAATTTTGTGGAAATGTTGATGTGTGTTGCCTGACTGATTATCACAAAACAAAAAGCATCGGAATAAGATATCGAAATGATTAAAATCAAGGATATTTAAGTCATTTCACACCAAAGTCATTATAACCTCGTTAGGCTCACATTTAATTTAAACATCCTACGGTATATCCTTTTTCTCATCGAAAGCACAAGCTTTGATTGTCATACATTTCATGAGAGGAAGCACATAATATATATCCGTTTGTATGAATCCAGTCAAGTAAATGCATACAACTTTGTAGCAACAGGGTTGAAATGGTAATTCTAGTAATGGTTGAGCGTGGAAACATTCTTACTTATATTTGCATTATAGAAAAGTACAAATGATCTCATTATCTATCTGAAAGATTCTAGGTGCACTATGTTCTTGGGTTCTTTTATGTTATTGCTTAAAAGGTATGCGATCCTACTACCTTTCTGTGACAGGAACTGCCAGCTTGCTAATGTATGCCTATTTATTGGTACATCATGAATCCTAATCTAAGAAATTAAGAAGTGGTGTGATTGATCTGTTGTTTAGGCAAAATTATCCTTGATAAATGATTATTAAAATATATACGAGAGAGGGAAGTAACAGTTGAGAAAGTGGAGGAAATCAAATGAGGGTAAAGTTGTGACAAAGTAAGGACTTAATGTGAAATGCCCCTTTTTTCCCACCTTTTCTATCAAGTCTGTGCTTTCTGGCTACACTACTGACATTTCGATTCAATGATTATAATGGAATTCGTCTAAACTTTTAATATGGTTGGCATACTATTTAAGTATTTAGTATTTACGGTCTGCCTGATCTTTGTCAATTCTAGTGAAGGAAAGTGTTAATTCTTAATTTGAAATCATAATACAAATACAATACGCACTTGGACTTTTGATGCATACTTGATTTTGGCCTTTCTGTTTTTCATGTTTATGGTTTTTATGCTAGTTTGTTGTTGAGACTTGAGAATTTTTGTTTGCTGATGCTACAGGGGTTATAAGCGGTTTTTCAAAAGATCTGCATTGGAGACATCAGATTACTTGAAAGATGACTGCCTTCAGGTTCATTGTTGTGTTGGAGTTGTCAAGTCACGTACAGAAGGCCCCAAGACCTACTCAATCCATGTACCACCTTCGGATATCGGGCAACAATTTGGGCAACTCCTGGAATGTGGAAAAGGCACCGATGTCTCTTTTCAAGTAAAAGACGAAACCTTTTCTGCTCATAAATTGGTGCTTGCAGCCCGCTCACCTGTTTTCAGGGCTCAACTTTTTGGTCCAATGAAAGATCAAAATACCCGATGTATTATAGTTGAGGACATAGAGCCCCCTGTTTTCAAGGTAATATATATTAAAAAAAAATAAATAAATAAAAGAAAATAAAGTTAGCATCTGTTATGAATAAGCTATAACCAAAAATGTGTATTTTGCAGGCATTGCTTCATTTTATGTATTGGGATAGTTTGCCTGACATGGAAGAACTAACCGGTATGAACACGAAATGGGCCACCACATTGATGTCTCAGCATCTTCTTGCAGCTGCTGATCGCTATGGTTTAGATAGGCTGCGGGTGCTCTGTGAGACTAATCTTTGTCAGGATGTTGCCATAAACACCGTTGCAACCACATTAGCACTGGCTGAGCAGCACCACTGCCACCAGTTGAAAGCTGTGTGTCTCAAATTCGTTGCTTCGCCTGAAAATCTCAGAGGTAACATTTACCAGATTAACTGCATAACCCACCCATTAATTAAGTAAATGAATCCTGTTGCTTGTTTATCAGCCGTGATGCAGACGGATGGGTTTGATTACCTTAAAGAAAGCTGCCCGGAAGTCCTGACCCAACTGTTGGAGTATGTGGCAAGGATCAGCGAGCATTCTCCTGCCATAAGCAAGCGCATTAACGATGTTATACCTGATGGAGTTGATGTTCATGGTAGAAGGGTAAAACAGAGATTGTAATTCCAAACCCCTTCCCTTGTTGAAAAAAGATCAAGTATAGGCACAGAGGTCATATCATGTCAAGTAGGGGTTAATTCTTTCTTCTTATAAGCTGAAAGTGTAAATTTAGTGTTGTAATGGATTGCATGTTGCAAGCTGTTTACGTCTTCCTTCTCACTTTTTATTTCCACTTTTTGTTTACTTCGTTTCGCGTTATGTGATGATGTCTTATCTCACTTTTCATTTCCAATTTTTGTTTACATAAATCATTTATGGGTAGACACTGTGACACTGTTAGCTGCCATGATCTGCATCCACATGTCCAGTTGTTAAGGTCAACATCATATCTCCCTTATATCCTAATCCCAATCATGACCTCATATTGTCACCCCAATATTTTTCCATACTATATACAATGTTACAAGCTGCCTACATAATGTTAAGTGTTTTTTTTTTTTTTTTTTTGACCGTTTAACTTGTTAAATTTGTTCATATAATACCATTGTCATCATCTATAACATGTGATAATGGTAATATGTGAACACATTTAACAAGTTAAATAATTAAAAGTATACAAAAAAAAGTTGTCTAAATGTGAATATCTTTTTTTTTCTTTTACAAATTTCTTAAGACATAAGGGAAAATGACTTATTAAAGTAATTAACTTTTCAGTATGTTTAGATTTGGGTAACTATCTTTTTTTTGTACATATCTAGGTAACAAACTTGTTGAAAGTGTTCACATATGACCATTATGACCTGCTGTGGCAGATTACATCCTAGATGTGAACATTTTCAATAAGTTCGTTACCTAGATCTGTTAAAAAAAATAGTTACCCAAATATGAACAAAACCAAAAGTAAGAGTAAATTGCATGAATGGTCCCTGTGGTTTCGTGGAATTTATGTTTTTGGTCCCTAACTTATTTTTTTTAACTTGGATGGTCCCTACTGTTAATTTTTGGGTAACTATTTTTTTTGTACACATCTAAGTAACAAACTTGTTGAAAATGTTCGGCATCTAAGATTTAACCTGCTACAGCAGGTTATAATGGTTATATGTCAACACTTCCAACAAGTTTGTTACCTAGATGTGTACAAAAAAAAGATAATTACCCAGATGTAAACATACCAAAAAGTTAATTATCTTAATAAGTCATTTTCCATTTTTATAATTCCTTACAACATTTTAATGATAGTTTTTCCTATAGTTTTTTTTTTAATATAATCTTTTAAATTTTGCTTATAATTTTTTTATAACTTTTTTTTATACTTTCATATAATTTTAATACAAGTGCTTTTAAACCAAATATGTTATAAATGTTTTAAATTTTTCTTACAAGTTTTTAACTTTTTTTTTAAAATCTTTTCATATATATATATATATATATATATATATATATATATATATATATATATATGAAAAAAAATTTCTGTTAAATACTAGTTTAAAATGTTGTATTAAAAAAATTAAAAGTTTATAAACTTTTAATTAAAGAATATTAAAAAATTATAATAATTTTAAAACATTTATATCATATAGATTTTTTTTTGTTTTTTTTATTTTCTACGTAATATTTTTATTTTTTATTTTTTAAAAGATCCTCCATACTTATTGTTACACATTTAACTTATTTAATTTTATTGTTAGATACTATTTACTTTAAAAATATTGTATATGTTTAAAAACAAAAGAAAAAAAATATAAGAAACTATATAAAATATTTCACAAAATAAAAACATATTTATTAATTAAAAAGTAAAGTTTAAAAGTGATCAATATTTAATTAATATTTAGGACATTATGGATATTTTAAAAATAACGTTTGAAAAAATAATACTAATAAATATAAAAAATAAAATCAGTATTAAAAATGAAGAAAATAACTTATCATGATAATTACTTTTTCGTTTTCTTTATATTTAGACAATTTTTTTTACACATTTGATCATTTAACTTGTTAAATACTTCACATATTACCATTGTTACCTATGTGTAGGGGTGTAAGTGAGCCGAGCTACTCGTGAGCTACTCGGGATCGACTTGTTAAAAGCTCGACTCGAGATCGAATTAAACGAGCCCGAGCCTAAATATGAGGCTCATTTATTAAACGAGCTCGAGCCGTGCTTCAATTAATGGGCTCGCGAGCTTAAACGAGCCTATATATATATATATATATATA